ATATTCTAACTACTGCAGTGCCAAGGGCCCACCATGAAAAAAGAAAAAGAGACATTAGGAAGAGGCAGTTATTCTGTACAGAAGTTTGGTTGTGGTCGTTCGAACTTCTGAGGCCTAGCTGTTTCTAGGCCTGTTGATGACAACGAGGGTGTCGAGAAGAAGAAGAAGATTTGGTCGCTGGGACAGTCCATGGTAGTATCCAGGGTAGTTTGTTGTTTTCACTTTAAATACGGTCCGTAGATCTGCTGAAACTGTCAGAACCGAAGAATTTGATACCTGCGCCATTGCTGACTGATGCCTCGACATGGAAGTAAACCATTCTGAGAAGTTTTATCTGAACTGCACACCAGGTACCAATGTGAGTTGGTTTCCCAACATACTCGATTAAAGAATCCTGTTATCTTACCAATAATTTAACTCTTAAGTATTGCTCAGGCAGCTTTTCACACCCAACGGTCCTTGATTCAAGACTTTCAAGTACCTAAAGAAGAGAGTGGACGCAGCGGTGGTCCTATCCTGCTTCAAAAACTCCGTCCCTTGCAATTTCTACACAACACTTTAAGTATTTGTCTTCAAGTACCCTCTCAAAGGAAAAAGTGCACGAAATTCGTCATGCTCTGCACGATAAGCTCGCGCATTGATTTCTGCTCACTCGACAAGGGCGACTGTTTCAAATATTTGACAGTTTTTTTTCCAGCTTTTATGCACAACGAATCCAACTGCATCTGTATGTGTATAGACCAACACGGGGGCCAGATCAGGGTACGGCAGGTGTTATTCGGTTTGCGTTTCCATAACAAATTCGGAATATGGGGGGGGAGGGGGTTGGCGTGGTGGCACGCATACGGGCGGCCTCGGCCGCGCCAGCCGCCTGTACCCTCCCCCCCATCTCCGATTTTCTTGACTGTCTCTTGACACCGAGTCCAGGTGAGGGAGTGAGTGTGAGGTAGATGCCACGCAAGTCTACTTTCACCATAAGCCATCGTGAGTCACCGCGTTTGCCTTCAGTTGGCTGAAGTTCGTGGTGACAGTCGAACGGTGGTGCGTGTGTGCACCTGTATGTTCATGGGTTCTACATTTGCTTTTTTTTTCCTCACCCGGATCCTGTTTCCCCTGCACAAACGACTCCGCCCTATATGCCGGTATCTTCATATTTGACTGGTGTTTTGGCTCCCACCTTCCTCAGCTGGAGAAAAACAGAGATTCGCTAGCCAACACCATGGAACAGATTATGCTGGGCATCAAGCAGAAGTCTGGCCTGCGCTGTATGATACTGGAGAAGAAGTTGGCAGCCCTGGTTAGCACCCTGGAGTCCCGGGAAGCCCAGGTTGATCACATGGTAATGGCCATGAATGCTGATCCCGCGGCCGTGAAGGATGCCAAACAACATTTAGAGGTAGGTATTGGCCTTGCGTTCGTGTTGCGAGTATTTCGTATTCACATTCCCTGTTGAGCTCGAGGGCATATGAGTAGACGTTCCGTAAATTCTAAGCTAGAGGTAGATACTATAGTAAGCCTATAGACGGAAAACGGCAATACATTAGGATATAAAGGCATGGTAGAAATCGTGCTATTATTAAATAACCTTTTATTTAACCCGCAAGCTAACCACTTTACCTCATACAGATTGGGAGGGCATACTGGGTGCCGACTTCCTAAAAAGCACACACAGGTCGTAGTCTAGTATACTATTTAGTGGTCTTAGTAAGCATGATTACTAGAATTAGCACTTTAGCATAGGCACGCACTTTTAGCGGCAGTATCCCAATACTCGTAG